ATATTTAGACAATTATTTTCAACTTCCATCAATCCGAACTTTAAAAGCTATTTTATCTAAAATTCCCTTTGAAACCGGCATCAATCCCGCAATTTTGGAACACCTGGCTAATGAAGTTCACAGAATGAAACCTGCAAACCGTGTTTGTTCGTTGCTTTTTGATGAAATCAGTTTGTCAGAGGGATTACATTACCAGGAATCTTTACAAAAAATTTGTGGTTTTGAAGATTTGGGTTCATTGGGGAGATCACAACAGCATGCTAATCATGCTCTTGTTTTCATGGTCAGGGGTTTGCGCAAACAATGGAAACAAATTGTTATTTTACGACAAGCACTATTCCAACAGACAAGTTGATGGTCATTATCAAAGAAATAATAGGTCAACTTCAGGCTGTCGGCCTGAATGTTGTGGCGACTGTTTGTGATCAAGGTTCAACTAACCAGTCTGCTTTGACGAAGTTATGTTCTGTTAATGAACAGCCTGTTGTCACCATTTTCGATGTTCCTCATTTATTGAAGTGCACTCGTAATGCGTTGTTAAAGTGTAAGCTAGAATTTGAACCAAACAAATTTGCCTTTTTTAGACATATTGAGGAAGTTTTCAACATTGACCAAAGGAAGTCTTTCAAGGCTCTCCCAAAATTGAGGGTCGAGCATTTTAATTTTAAGGATTCATACGTCAAAATGAAAGTCAAAGTAGCGGCAGCTCAGTTGAGTGCATCTGTAGCATCTGCTATAGAAACGTACTCTGTTTTTACTGAGTTGTCACCTTCCGAGGCTATTCATACGGCTGAATTCGTAAAATTATGACGACTTGTTTGATTCGTTAAACAGCTCTCAACCTCGAGCCAGTCACACCAAGCCTTTTAAAGGTGCTCTGAGAGAGAGTGTTCCTCATTGGGATCTTTGGTCAAAGTTGTTAACTGCGATGGACCACTGGAAGCTAACTGATCTGTCGTCTGGTGCCGATTGGACTAATCGTTACTCGTTTATTCGAGGTTGGTGAACTACGATTCGTTCAGTTATGTATCTGTGACATCGTCTCAAAAACATTCCCGGTTTTGATTATTTAAATCTGCGTAGTTTAAACCAAGATCCTGTAGAGAATTTATTTTCCAGCGTTCGCCAACACGGAGTGTTTAACACCAACCCAACCTGTAAACAGTTCACTGCCGCCCTGAAAACTGTTGTGGTCAACAAGCTTGTTGCCCCAACAACAGAAGGGAATTGTGAAGATGATGGTTGCACGCCGTTGGAAAATCTCCGAAACCTGCTGCAATATGCAGAGAAGACTGAAACTGCGGAAGTGGAAGAGGTAACTGAATTTGACGAAGAAGAGGTCAGTGGCACATCAAATTTGGACGCATCTATTTGTTTTGAAAACCTTGAAAAGCTGTCGGACGAAGACAGTCAAGGATTAGCCTATGTTTCAGGCTATATTTTAAAACAGATAGATGTATCCAATTGCGATGCTTGCCAGAGTGTGTTGACTACCACGGAGATGTTACCATCTCATTTGTTAACGTACTTCAAAGACCGTGGTGATGATGACTTGAGACTGACGTATGCAAGTGAGAATGTAATGTTGTTTGTTCGAAACATACATGACAATTTGTACACATTTTTGGACAAGAATGCTCATCAAACAAATTTGGAGAGTCGTTTCAAATCTGAGTACAAGTTAACATGTGGTCTTGGGCAAACTGTTTGTGAGAGACATGATTGTTTTGGTATTATTCTGGACAAGTGTACGAGGTCTTTGATTTACAAGTATGTTAGAGATAGAAAGAAAAGGAAAGGCTTGAGTGAAGGTCATCACACCAAAATGAAAAGATTTAAGAAAACTGCTTAAAGTATTTTTAAATTTTTTCATTACCTTACACCCCAATTTTGACTGAAATACTGGCTGTGACTTAACTTTCGGCTGCGACATTAAACCAAATATTGACTGTTAGAAAATTTGTTCATTTTATTTTACTGTTTGTGTTTAGTTTTTGTTATATTGTATATTAAGAGAATAACTTGTTTTGTTTTTTAATATTTTTATTTTTTGTTATACTTGTTTATGCATGCCAAAGAATTATTTTGTTTGAAATATTTTTATCGTTTTGTGCTTGATTAATTTTATTGAAAATATATTTATTTAGGTCATTATGTATTGTAATATATTATGGAATTAATAAATACATTTTTTTTTCAGGATATCTGGGTTTTATTGAAAAATGAGTGAAATTAGAATTAAATTTAATAAACAAAAACATGGTACTGACTTTTAAACTACGCGCTTGCTCGTTAGTTGGGCCACTACGACATCAGGTGGCTCTACTTTTTGTGTTTCTTGAAATTTCTAGGGACTTTGCATTTCTATTAGCGAGTGTTCTGTGGTTGACACTCTGTGGTTGTTGACACATAATAACGAACATAATAAATTGTTAGGTCTTAACGTTCTTTATTTTTTTATCCACAATGTCATAAATGTATAAGTTTTTATTCTTGTAGTTTTTGTAAAAGAGTTTATCTTTATTTGAATAAAAAGTCAGTCGACTCTAGAATGTATTTCAATACACACGTATAACATGGCGCTGCGACGATAATTTTGAATGCATAAAGTGATTTTGTTAAGGAAAAACGGCATCAAATTTCACAATGAGTGAAATGCGAGGAATATCGCCACTTGAGATGTCGGGAAATTTGGCTGAAAACTGGAAATTTTGGGTGCAGAAATTTCAAAATTACCTTGTGGCCTCTGAAACAAATAAGAAGTCGGAAGAGTTACAGTGTGCACAGTTACTTCATTACATAGGAGATGAAGGTTTGAGAATTTTTAATACATTTGAGATAGAAGCGGATAAGAAAGGGAAAATCGGAAATTTAATCGAGAAGTTTACGGAATATTTTACGCCGAAAACGAATTTGGTGTACCAAAGGCACAAATTTTTGACTAGAAAACAGACACAAGGTGAAACGACTCAGTATTACGTAACAGAATTGAAGAATTTGGCAAAAAATTGCAAATGGGGAGAGATAGAGAATGATCTCATTTGTAATGTCTTAATTTGTGGATTGATTTCTGAGAAATTGAGAGAAAGGCTCCTTGAAGATTCCGAAATGAAATTGGATAAAGCGCTAAGGGTGTGCTTATCAGTGAAAGAGTCACAAAAACAAAATCAAGAAATCAGCGAAAAAGGTGAGATAGGGATAGTGCGAACGAGACAGAAGTGCAGTAGTAAAGAAAGTGGGGCTGGTGGTTATAGTGATGGCAAGTCAAGAGCAGGTGAGAAGGTGTGGAAAACGAAAAAGGGCAGCAACAACAGCAAAACTACGATGTGTCAAAGATGCGGCTACAATCATGAAAAAAAAACGATGTCCAGCGTATACAAAACAATGTAGTGAATGTGGTGCTTATGGTCATTTTAAAAAAATGTGTTTCAAGAGAAGCGTATATGCGGTGGAAAATGAGATAAAAGAAGTGTTCGTAGGTTTAATAGGTAAAAAACAAAAAAAGAATAGTTGTAGAGAATGGAGTATTGTAATGAGAGTCGAGAGAAAAAAAGAAATTAAAATTAAGCTAGACACGGGAGCAATGGTTAATGTCATTAGTCAAAGTACATTAAAAAGTTTAGGGTTTGATTTAGAAAAAATGGAGAACATTAATTTAATTATAACTAATTTTACCCACAAAAGAGTTCCTGTGTTAGGAAAATGTAAGCTATGTTGTACTTTCCAAGAAAATGATTATGTCTTAGAATTTTGTGTAGTAAGAGATGAATGTCCTACTATATTAGGTCTTAATTCGTGCATACAACTGAATTTAATTAAACGGGTTGATAATATTAGCTGTAATAGAATAGTAGAAAGTTATAACGATGTTTTTAAAGGCATAGGTTGTCTGAGGGATCCCTATACAATTAAATTGAAAAGTAGCATTAGTCCAGTAGTTCATGCGCCAAGGAAAGTACCTTTTGCTCTTGTTAATAAGTTCAAAGCATGCTTAGAAAAAATGGATAAAGAGGGCATAATTTCTAAAGTAGATTATCCAACAGAATGGGTTAATCCAATAGTGCTTGTACATAAGCCAGACAGAACTTTGAGAATATGCTTAGATACAAGAAATTTAAATCAAAATATTTGTCGAGAACATTATCAGTTACCCACTTTTGAGGAACTAACTAGTAAACTAGCAGGTGCAAAAGTATTTTCGACTTTAGATGCTATGTCAGGGTTTTGGCAAATACCACTTGATAAAGAAAGTTCGGATCTATGCACTTTTTCCACACCGTTTGGACGGTATAAATTTTTACGTCTTCCATTTGGTCTTACTTGTGCTCCAGAAGTATTTCATAAAAAATTTAAGGAAATTTTTGAGATTCCAGGAGTAGAAATTTATATCGATGATATATTAATTTATGCAAATAATCAGACAGAACATGACAGAATAAATAAAAATATTATTATGATAGGAATGTAAGAAGTAGAAGTACTAATTTTAAACGAAACCAACATGTATTGGTAAAAAATAGATTAAGTGAGAAAAAATGGAATAAAGGTGTTATAGCGAGTAAATCCACATGTAGGCCAAGGTCATATAATATTAAATTTGATGATGGAAATATGTTAACTAGAAATACAAAATTTATTAAATTAAGTAATGTAGAGGATCCTCAGAATTCTGAAAATGTAACCGATAATCAGTCATCTTGTAGTAATGATTTAGACAGTTCTGTGATAGATGTAAGCCAGGATTCAGAGGAAGAAGAAAATGTTGCAGAAGATGAAAAGTTTGTAGTACCAGAGCAAACATCAAGCGGAAGGGTAATAAAGCGGCCCAATCGTTTAACATATGGTAGATTTAAGTAACAAAATAGTAGTACTATAGTTTAGAGAAAATTGTTTAAGTTAAAAGGGGAGATGTCATAAATGTATAAGTTTTTATTCTTGTAGTTTTATTTTAATAAAAAGTCAGTCGACTCTAGAATGTATTTCAATACACACGTATAACACACAATAGCTTTCTGTAACTTGAGCAACATGGAGTACGATTATCGGTAAGTAATATTGAAATATGTTGCACAATTATCATTTTGAATTTCATATAGTGAGGTTAGGTCAATTATCGCGTGATTATTTTTTGCTTGTATAACTTGCATTTTTTATTATATCTTTTTAGTGTTTTCGAGCCATCACCGGCTTTGACCCAAGCATTAAGAGAACTGCAAATTCTTCAAACAAAAAGAAGGAAAATGGCTGAAGTAGTTACCAGAATAATTGGAGATGGTGAAATAACCATAGAGTATCCAAACGTAGTAAAAACATTTACAGGAGCTGTGACTATCGTAAAATCACAGGATTCATGTCAATTTGAAGTACGTTCCAACGGCGTAACAGATGTGGTGGTTAAATGGGCAGAAGTGGTATGTTGTAATGTATTCGAAAAGACAATTAGTTTACAATTCAACACAGACTATTTCTGGGAAAAATGTATTGTCAAATTTTTTGAAAAAGTCACAGGTTGATCTTTTTATATCCTTACTACCAGCCATTAAAAAACCTGCGTCCAGATACAGTGATTCAACTGCTAGGTAAGAAAGCTAAACATTAGTTTAAACTCAGTTATTTCTAACATCTTCTTTGCAGTTCCGACATTGATTATAACGATTCGGGCAACGAGAAAACCCACCTATTTTCCCAAGATAACTTGTATAACCCACAAACTTCCGATGATTTCCAAGAATTATAAACTTTGTAATCTGGTTATCATTAATAAATAAGTTTTTGCATAGGACAGAATCTTGTAATTAAGCCCCGCCCCTCGACCTGACAACGAATGAAAAATTCATCACAATTGAGAATTGAGGTTGGGGCGGGTAAGGGTGGGGCCTAATCTTTGGCTTTATTTTTCTTAATATACATAGTATTCTTTGAGCAACACGATACTGAAAATGTTTTTAATTTCTCAAATAAGAATTTTGCAGTTAAGCTTCGCCTCCTTGGCTCATGACGAATAAAAAAAATCATTACAATTGAGACAGGGTGGGTGGGCGGGGCTTATCTTTTGCCTTTTTTTTGTTATTATATAGCCATTTTTTCACAACAAGAAACTTAAAACATGGTTAAAATGGTAAATTCTTGTAACGAAGCGAATTTTCGCGGGCCGGAAACTGTGGCGCGTACCGCGAAAGCCGGGGGTAAATTGGCGATCGCCGCGCCGCCGCGGCGGAAGAGGAGGATTCTTGGCTGTGGCTGTCCTGGTGAAGTTTTTGAGAAGTGTGACAAAGTGAGCAGTTCGACCCTCCGACCTACCGTAAGTACTTTTTGGGTCGCCTGCCTGTTTTTTACCGGTTTTGGAATCGCCGCCCCCGAGCGAAAAACCGTGTCACCGTCACCGCGTTTTTTTTGTCACCGTCGAAAGTCGACACCGTCGTGCACGCGTCGTTACCGTCACCGCGCTCCCCTCCCGGGTCGCCGTACCGTCTTCGCGCGATTTCCAGGTTCAAGGTCGCCGCCCCCAGAGCCAAGAGGAGCCCGGCCTGAAGGAAGTTGCCGCCCAGGAGGAACGACCGTGCCGGACGTTTAATTCTTTTTCTGTTGTAAAACCGTTCTGTAGTTATTTAAGTTGCTTAGCCGTAAGATTTATTATTTTAGACCGTGTAGCTGGTGGCAGGGAATAAACCCTATTTTGTTATAACACATCCTCGCCGTTTTATTTATTATTTTGGAGTTTTCGCGGCGGCTCATCACCTGAATTCCGTGTCTCCGGCTTTAGAGCACCCCGGCGCTCCCTCCCCCGGAGAGGGAGCTGGCGCCCGAGCGACCGCCGCTCCTGACCGAAGGCGCCACCCCCGGCGGCGTGAAGGTAGCCGCATAAGCTTGGTCGACCAGACGTGTTTCTGACATCAGCGATACTAGTCGACCCAAAGCTTGGCACCCAAGTACGCCGCCACCCCATACGTTATCGGCGAGATTCCGGACCGTCACCGGACCGTCCGTCCCTCCCATCCGGAATTGCGTCGCATTCTTCTAGACAAATATGGATTTTGCAATTATGGGGCGGAGCCTAATTGCAAAATCCTTATTTCCTTGTACAAAGTTTACATTTTAACCATATTTTAAGTTTCAAGTTGTGAAAAGAACTTTTAAATAAAATAGAAACAAAGGAATTTGGTTTTGTTTATGACAAGAGAGTTATTCTAGAAAACTTTGAAACAATACCGTTTGGATATTAAATAAATAGAAAAACTGACTTCGACTACGTCTTTGGACTAACTTCTAATTCAGATTTTTTTTGGAGTTTGAAGTTTGTTGATTTCGAAAAACAGCCCATTGAAGTCTGTTCTAAAACACAAAAAATTTTAATGCTGAGGAAGTATTTTATCGTTTCTATTCTATTGTAATAACCCAATGTTCCCGCTAAAGTGCACGCATGCGCTTGTGCTTGGCTTTGGCCGCTTGCTCCGCTTGGGCATTGTGGTTGTTGTGCTACAGTAGTAAACCGTTTTTCCTTTTCTGGTCTGTGGGTTGTTCTGTCTGTGTGTGTTGAACTACTAAAAACTATCTAAATAGCTAAAATTTTTTGTGTATAACGAAAAATGGAAGACAAGACATATGGAGTAAAAACACACCTCATTGAGGAATTTAAACAGTTTCAAATTAGTAGACGAAAAGTAACAATGGCTTTTGTAAACAATTGCGTATTGGCAATCAATTCAACGCCAATGCGAACACGTGTAGTGGCCTTAAATGGAGTGATATCAATAGATTCTTTCCCGTTGTTTCAAGGAGGTATTACGGGATTTCAGATACCTCCGCAACGCCTCGATTTGGCAGGTTACAATTGGGTCATAATTAGGTTACATCCAGCGCTGACAATCACGTTAATGTTCGACTCACCTGATCTGAAGAACGAATTCATCGGCAAGCTTAATTTGTAAATTTAAAAAAACGATAATTAATTGTTCACTTTGTATTGGTGGTTTTTGTCTTGCAGGGCTGAAGAGAAAAAATAAAAAAAATATTACAAAAAAAAAATGCATATTTGTCGGCTCACATAAAGTGCAGGTAATTGGTATGGGTCGACGCAGGTGAGCATAATTAAGGAATTCATGAAACCGGAAGTCCATAGGGATTAAGCGAAAAAGGATATTTGACAAAATGTACGGCTTGGGTCATTTTTACCCACGCGCGACTGCTTATGGGTTAAGCAACGTCTCAAAATAAAACTCAAGATTGTGTAGGTCAAAAAAAAATATATATACACTCCCCCCAAAAATTATCGCACCACCCTCAAAATTTTGTATATTTCCAATTTGAAAATTTGTAGAAGACACATATGGGGCCAAATCATATACAAACATATTTTCATTTATTTATTTGCCAGAACAAAAACCAATATGGGGATTAAAACGATGGTTTCTAGTTCTTCGGATAAATATGCACATAAACGAATTTCGTCCTTTGCATTTGCAAAGGATTTATGTAGACATCTATCGCTACTGTCATACATATTCGACTTTATGGAGGTCCCTCAACGCTTAATCTTGCATTTGACCCACGACGAAGTTGTACGAGCATTGACTCTGTTGGAAGATGGTCGTAGTCAGCGATACGTAGCAAGAGTTTTAGAAGTTAATCATTTCACAATAGTTAGACTTGCACAAAGGTGCCATGAAACAGGAAGTGTTGCCAGAAGGCCAGGACAAGGTCGTCGAAGGGTGACTTCGCCATGGGATGATCGCTTTTTGCACTTAACAGCGCTCCGTACGAGGCATTGCACTGCTGGATTACTTCAAACGGAGTTGTTTGGTGCTCGAGATGTGGATATTTCTGTACAGACAGTAAGAAATCATCTTCGCGAAGATAATCTTCCAGCTCATGTTCTTCCAAAAGAACCATTACTCACCAGAGCTCACCGAGTAGCCCGGCTAGAATTCGCAAGGGAGCATGTGAATTGGGGAATTGAAGATTGGGAAAATGTGATGTGCTCTGATGAGTCTAGATTCTGTTTTTGCTCAAATGACAGACGAATACCGGTGTATAGAAGGCCTGGGGAGAGGTATTTTCAATGTAACTTCAACCAAATGTACAGTTCGGTGGAGGTTCCATTATGGTTTGGGATGGCATATCTTTGCAGGGTCGTACAGACTTAGTACCATTACCTGGAGCTCGTTTGGTCGTTGTACGTTACATAACAGACATTTTGGAACCACATGTCATTCCATACGGACCATTTATTGGTCAAAATTTTGTTTATATGCATGATAACGCTCGGCCGCACATAGCGCGCGTTGTACAAGCTTATTTCAGAGAAACAGATACGCCTGTTATGGAACGGCCAGCTCGAAGCCCTGACATGAATCCCATCGAGCATGTGTGGGATGATCTGCAATGTCGTGTTGCGGACCCTAGAATTGCTTTTAGAACTCTCCAACAGCTAGAAGCAGTTCTTATGGAAGAATGGAAAAATATTCCTCAAGACAATATTGTACACTTTTACGAAGGTATGCAGCGACGGATGGAAGCCGTTATTCAAGCCAGGGGTGGAAATACACGATATTAATTTAATTAACGCTTATAAACTTATGTACCTACATTAAGACAGTATCCAAATCAGGCCCAGAATATGTATATTTTTTTAATTTTGTCATTTTTTTGGCATTGTCTTGCATACATTTATCACCACTGTGTATATGGTAATCACATGTAGTCCGGTTCGCTAGAACTGGAGGTGGTGCGATAATTTTTGGAGGGAGTGTATATATACATGATCAATAAAAAAATTGTTTATTGAGAGAAGGTCTGCTTATATAATTTTTTGTTACGTCTAGTTTGTTTCTTATTATTTTTATATTTAATTTTACCACAACAACGGAATCATATATAATAAATTTTTATTATTTATTTCATAACCACCGTTGTTGTCCGTTTGCGACGACTTTTTAAACAAAAAGTGTGTTATGTTTACTATCTTTTCCAAGAATTCCAAACACGATGGAGAGAATAAGGCGCACAACAGGGATCCTGTATGAAAATTCATCGGACAAAAATTTTACCTTTTATTGTGAAAATTACATTTTATACTGTTTGTACAATTCTACCAGAAAAGCAGTCTTAAACAAGCAAAACCGGCAAAAATATTGTAACAAAACTGCCAAATTTCAAATATTTTAGACGTCAGTTGGGCGCCCTCATTCGGTCATAATGTGAACGACCACCCACGAAAACGGGTCACGAAAAACGGCAAGCTGTCTCTACTGATTAATATCTATACTGTGCTTAAGGGATGGGGAAACAAGCGAACTCAGTTAAAAATAATGAAAACTATATTAAACAATAAACACACTCTCTACATTTGCGCCTCCGAAATACTGTAACTGTTCCACATCTCGACGGCTCGACTCTTCATGAACGACCATAGCGAACGACTCTGCTGATCGAGGATTCTCCCGGTCCAGGCAACCTCTCTTCCGGTACCGGATCTCTCCCCTTCCATGTCCGGTCAAAGGGTGACAGCGCGCCGCATTTAAATTTGGCGAACGCTAACAGTTTTTAATAGAAATTAGTGCAGCAACAATACGATAAATGTGACATCATAGCAGCTGAACAAGCTCCAACAATTCGTTGTTGCGGAAATGGTGTAAGCGTAGCTATTGTTGTGAGTTAAATATTGTGTTTCTGTCAATAACATTTTTTGAACGTTAATTATTAATTCTTAATGTAAAACTA